TGGAAAATGACAGACATGATATGCACGTATCAGCGCGTGTGCAGTTAGCGTTTCTGACGTTTAGGTTAATGTACACGTTTGGTACGAACAGGTACTACGTCTTGCTTCCTTCACCTGTTCCCACTCTTACTTGAACATCAATGGGAACACGAGATACAACGTTTCCGAGATCTTTCGATGAAGAAAAGAAAACGTTTCCATCGATAATTAAATAACACACTCGTCGCTTTCACTTTCTCTGTAAGTAATCTCTAAGTGTTCACACAGATGTAAACTTGCATAAATATTCGCAGCCACAGCTAGTGACATTTGGAAATCTCTAAAAATAATGCCAGGTGCAACAAGTAATGTCAATAAAACATCGAATTCCAACCCCGTAGAATGAGATATATCGACAACCGCGTAATATTTGATAATTTTCGCTTTATCCGTTGTGTGTGTGTGTGTGTGTGTGTGTGTGTGTGTGTACGCGATATTCTCGACACGATTGCGTGCAAAAACTACCATAACTTCAGCTGCGTTCGTGTTTACACGCATTGCTTTCTACGCGACGTAAGAGATATTTACTTCATCACGAAGAGGTATTGCTTTTTTTTTACGTTCAACCATTAGGCGATCTTTGTAACATTCCATGGGACACAGGGATAATAACTGATTGAAACGAAAATCTGTCTGACGCGTTCTATATAGAGGGTTGACACGTGATTTTTATGTGGCAAAATTTTCATTTAATTCCAAATTATCATTAAATTCCGTAACACGAGACCAACATCTTATAGTAAAAATCAACAGAAAATTAGCTTCTTCGATTTCAGCGCCTTCAATTTCTTGGCCTTTACCAGATCGAAGATTTTTCTTAAAAGAATAAGAATTTTCCAAGTCTTCGAAGATTGTAGCGATTCCTCCCCGTTTCGACTCTTTTACACGAAATTATTAATATCGTGCAACGACGAGTAAACAAAGTTTAATCTCCCCGAGATTACTCGGAATTTATTTTTGAGACGCGCGACGAGACTCTGCTTTGAGAACTTTATTATCCGGCTGCCTCTTTCACCTTTCAATATTTTTAATATTCAATAGATTTAACGAGATACACCTTGTCGCTCGCGTTTACCTGATAGTTTCTATTTTCACTCGAGTTAACTTCGTTTCGGAGATATTTCGTAAGAACAAGTTTCACTAGACGGATCAAATCTCGCGATTCAATGATTAATCGATACGTAAAGATTAATTTTGTACGCAAAGGTATCCGTGTAATTGGTACTCTGCGGTTCAGTAGTGTATGCATTACACATTGCAGTCAGACGAGGAGCCAAGCGTCTGATTTATCACTGGTTGGAACTACTGAGAATCGCTTTGTTCGCAAATTCACAGCGATGATAACTCCGTTTAAAAAATGGTTTGCGTTTGACGCGTTCAAAACGCAAGCCGAAGAGTCGACACGTTAAAGCGTTTCATAGATGGAATGCTTTAAAGTCTGATTCTGAATTTGATCACTTTAATACGCTGACAGATGTCGTTAAAAATTCATAAATATTCCATCTCTGTCATTGTCAGCAGAGTTCCTTTTTGTCGTTCCACGGATTTTTCTCACTCGTTTTTAATCAACGTTTCATTTCTTACGAATGTTTATCCAACGAAATATGTTTCTTGTCCTTCTTTGTCTATACGTTAAAAATTTTTTTTTCTAACAATATCCACGTATTTAACATTACATTCGAAGCTCTCTAATAACAGTTTTTTGCGACTCAATAAAGGGTAGTTTGTCCCAGAATTTTTCTCCATTTGCTCTATTTTTATAATATATATTATATATATTTTTTATTATATTTTTTATAATATAATATATATATAT